CTGGTTATCAGGCCAGCACGGTAAACTAAACATTGTTGTATATTATTTGTTTATGTTGGTGTCTTTTTGATTGTGTTTGTGTAAAACATTTGGTTTGTTTGTTTGTTTATCTTTTAGTTTTAACAGTGTTCAATAAACTAATTGCATGGACATCAGTATTTGGGTAGCTACACTCGTTATGTAAGAATAGTGGGTGCTATTTTAAGATCATTCAGATTGTGTAAGTAAATGATTAATAAACCATTCAAATCAAAATTTATGTATCTTATTATTTAGTCATATACTAATAGTTAATTTGTATGTTAATAAATGCCCTAATATTTCAACTTCATCCAGTTTTGTATCCTTAAGTGAGGAATGTTTATGCTTTATAAATCTCTTACAAATGACAATTAAAGGCTGTTATATTCTAAACAGGACAAATTAAATAATGATTTTAATAGTTCCTATTCATTTGAAAATACACAAATAAAACTGTATCGAATTAAAAATAATTCTTTGCAATCTTATGTAAAATAAAATTACTGTAGAGTTTAAACATCACTAAACACAATTGAAATGTTGTATCGTAATATATTGCTAAATTAATATATTGTTGTATTTATTGCAAATTGTGTTTTGACACCTCTGTTATTCGACAATGTTTAAAGTTATTTTTTGTTTAGATAAGATTGTAAACATGTATTGTTAATTTGCTACTGAACCTGTATTTGTCATTTATAAGGGTATCTATAAAGCATAAGTAGTCTTCACTTTAGATTAGGTCACAAAACTGTATGAAGTTGAATTAATAAAGCATTTATTAACATGCATAACCATTAATATATGCATGAATAATAAAATATATAAATGTTGATTTGAGTAGTTATTCATTTGCTGACACATTCTGAATGAATCTAAAAGCCACCAACTACTCTTAAATATAAATGGTTTGTACATAAATAATATAATGAAATTAATATTGAACAGTTAATAACTTATAGCGTATACAAATACAATCATTAAGCTCATTATACATATGCTTATAAGTCAAGAGTACAGCATTTGTATCTGTATTTACAGTATAAACTGCTTACTAACATCTATTAATAAAGTTAATGCTTAACAAATAATGAACTAACTATTTGCTAATGCTTAATTAATTGTTCATAGTGTGTAATTATAAAGTGTTACCAAAAGAGTTTTCTGTAGAGTTCAATTCAAAAGATCATTACCAAATTACATGTTTTTTGGTAGTTGTAATGTTTTTTGTCATAATATGGCAAGTTCAGAATCACAGTTCATAATAATATTTCAGCTCAAATGCACACCATGCAGATTTGTGACAGCATCAAAACGACTAAATGGTGATAGTATTTAACCAAGCACTGGATGATTTTCTCTTAAGAAATTACAAGAAATCTTTTAAAAATGTTTTATTTTGCTTATTTTTTTAGTTTGGCTTTATTTTTTGTTTTTGTTTTTTTGTTTGTTTGTTTTTTTGTTTTTGTGCACTGGACAATCGGTTATAATGATCATCGTTGAATTTGGTTTCGTTATTTGAGGTTTCTAAGAGAGCCGCATGTTTGAGAGATGCTATTTGAGGATCTAAATCTTGTGTCATATTAAACATCTTAACCTGACATTTTACTGCAGAAACACTTCGATTTCTTTGTATATATACACACATGCCCTCTGGGTTAACGTATGTGGTGTAATCATTTTTAAAAAGGAATGTAATGTTGTAGGTACACGTCTCTCCCCCTCCTCTTGTGATGAAAGTGCATGGGTTCAGAGTGACACCCCTGCCTCTGGAGACCCTACCAAACGCTCTCTGCATCTCTGATGAGGTCAGGCCTCCCTGAGCAGGGCTTCCATCTCATTGCTGATTTCAGAGTTCCTTGATTAACATAAAGGCAGTCCTCTGGAGAGTTGGTGTCCAATAACATTGGCCCCACCGCCTCTTTGTTTCCCCTCACTGATTGACACAAGATGGCGGCCTGCATTAAATGCCCATCAGCCCCTGCATTAAGTTTGGGAATAGACAAGTTGTGGAACAATGTGAGGTCAATCCATCCACATAATAAACTTAAAATAAATCCTTCAAAGGGACGGGTTCTTTTAATAAAATTGTGTAGGCAATAGATTAACTGGAATAAATCTGCATGTTTTAGGCAAGCACTTGTAATAGACTGTGTGGGTTGCCCACAAAAAGACAAAATATGTATTAAAATATTTATTTTGTTAAAAATAAAAGTTTAATCAAACAATGCTAACACTTCTTCTTCTTCTTCTTCACTATCTTGTCATTGTTGTACTTACATTAATTTATGCAGACATGCAAATAACTAACCCAAACACATTTCTAACCATATAGTAATACTTTTTAATTATTACACTCATCACACAGGGGAAATAAGTGTTTGTTACCATTTTTCTCAGAAAACTTATTTCTAAAGGTGCTGTTGACTTTTTTAACGAATGTTGGTAACAACCAAAAAAAACCCACATATGCAAAGAAAACAAAAATAATTAGTTTACATATGAATTTATGTGTAATCAAATGAAATGGCACAGGGGAAAAAGTACTGAACACATGAAGAAAGGGAGGTGTAGAAAGGCAGTGAAAGCCCAGACAGCAGCTAAGATCTCTCAGTAGTTTTTCAGCCACCTCTGGCTTTTGCCATTGTAAATTCATATAAGCAGCTTCAGTCCAACATTTACATTAGCAGGATGATAAAGATGAAACCAGGGTGTACATTTCAGCTAGACAATGATCTAAAACACAGCCAAGGAAAATTGTTTAAATATTATGGTTTAAATATTTTTATTATTAGAAATTTTAGCAGACATTCACTTGTAAATACACGTTTTTTCAAATATAAACATAAAACTTTTAACAATAAGAAATAAATTTAAAAAATTAGCAAAAAAAAAAAAATACAAAAAAACAAAAACAACAATCATAAAAATAATAATTGAACAAAAAAATAATAATTATAAGAATTATAAGAAATAAAAGGGGACCACATTTTTTTTTTCAAATAACAAAAACCTTGTCTATTGGGTAAACCAGATTTTTTCCAGATGTAATGTACCAGTTAACTCTGTCAGTCATAATTTAGGAGTTGTAACTTCTTTTTTCTAAAACAAAAGGATACCTTTTTGGCAGAGATCAAAGCATACGAAACAAACTTTTGGTGTACTTGTGTAGGTCTCAAAAATTCGGAAACTCCAAATATAATTAATATAGGATCTGGCTCAATCGCAATGTCTAATGTATCTGAAAAAACTTGAAATATTTTGTTCCAGAAACTCTGTGATTTGGGACACATGGAGTAACATAGGACTGAGACAAGTTGGAATCTAAAAACAAACATTTGTCACACAATGGCCACACCTCTGGAAATATTTTATTACATTTTTAGATATTCTCAGGAAAAAAAACATGCCGTCTTATTACCCCCAATGTAAGTTTTGTATGGGCGATATGCATACAGAGTATTAATTTTCAGCCAGGCAGCCTAAGGGCTTCTGGTGAACTGTCATTCCATTACAAAATTGCCACGTTTCAAATCTGATTTGTTTAAAAATCATCAATCTTCACTGCCTAATAGATATACGATATGAAGTGGGTCTCAGATCGGACAAGAAGCACTGCATTAAGTTCCATTTCCCTCAGCAACTAAATGAATGCTTAAGTCCATTTAACTGAATGTATTGTAATTACATTACAACATCGATGCTGTAAAAACAACCTTGTGAAATAAAAATAGTCACATTAATCTTTCACCGGAAGTTTATTATTTAAAACTCTGTTTTATTTATTTATTCTATTTTGTTTATTTAAAACTCTAGCTGTGCATAGAGGCCATTGCGGTATAAATTGTAGTATTGTACTAGAGAGTAAATGGTAGAGATTATCATCCTTATATTAAACTAATCCGAAATCACAGCACACAGCGAGTAAGCTGAAAGAAAAGCTGAACAAAATGCCCTTTTAAAAAGATCTCCACTAAATATTTAAGCAATCCAGACTATGTAATGCTTTCAGTTTTATCTTTGAACTTTTGCTAACATCTATTAGTCTTGTAATATCACACAAGAAGTTATCGCTGCACAACAGTGAAACAAGTTTGCTGTCAAACCTGTTGTCATATCGCAAATGCCACGTTCCATGCCGTCTCTCATTGCCCTTCTGATTTAAAGTTCTAATTAAGAAAGCTTGGAGTGCAAATTAAACGAAATTAGCTGTCAGCGCATTCACATTTAAATGAGTGATGCTAAGACCCTTCCGGTAAGCGTTTAAATGATATAAATTGCTGTTTAAGTGCAGGGCCTAATGTTTGTCTCCAAATTAATGTGACACAAGGCAGCAATGACAATCAAGGCTCTTCTCATACTCATTTGGGCTCGTTTAGAGGCCTTTGTGCCCACACAGCTTTGAGCAAATTAACACAATTGCTGTTTTTTATGAGCAGTCATAAACAGAGGTCCTCCTTTGGCTGCTAATGAAGAGAGAAACAGCTTGCGTTTCGGTGTTTTGACAGTCCAAGAGCAATCGCAGCTCTGAAAACAACAACGCGCTCTCAGACGTCCCGCGGCACGTAGAGATGAGACTAAACAAAGGAGCAAAGATATCTCGTCGTGCTCGTGTAAGATGATCTGCTTTGCTCCAGCAGTTCTGTCCTAGAAGCATATGCTTGTAATTTGTGTGTATTATGTCATTTGTGACTGCTGAAAGCACATTTTGACAGATCCCGTTACCCATGCTACTTGGTTACGTTCTCTGAGGAGCTTTCCATGAGTTGTTGAGCATGTGAAAACATTTTAAAAATAACAAATCTATCACAATCTGAGGTAAATTCATTTAACGATCGGGCCGCGTGGTATTTCATTGTGTCTCATTCACTAACTACCTTCAGTTTAGCTTATTTGACTACATCTTTATGAAGTTAGATTTTTTGTTAATATATCAATAAGCTTGAATGACATCATGTTATCTCCTGTGTGTTTTGTAGGCTCTGGAGAGTGAGTTTGTGTCCTGTCAGTTGCATCAGTGGATTGATCTGATCTTTGGATACAAGCAGCAGGGACCCGAGGCCATCAGAGCTCTCAATGTCTTCTACTACCTGACTTATGAAGGAGCTGTTAACCTCAGCTCCATATCTGACCCCATGCTCAGAGAGGTGAGTGTGTGTTTTTCTGTTGCACATACAGTACAGTTGAAAGCAACATGATTAGCCTTTCTGTGAAATTTTTTATTATATTTCAAAAAATCTTTACAGTATTTCTTATTTTATATACCCTGCTGAAAAATCCAGCTTAAACCAGCCTAGGCTGGTTGGCTGGTTTTAGCTAGTTGACCAGCCTGGTTTTAGAGGGGTTTTTGCCATTTCCAGGCTGGTTTCCAGCCATTTCCAGCCTGGTCTTTGCTGGTCAGGCTGGAAAATGACCAGCCAAATCCAGCTAAAACCAGCTTGACCAGCCTGGTTTAAGCTGGATATAGCTGGTTTTGGCTGGACTCCCAGCTTGGCTAGGCTGGTCAAGCTGGTTTTAGCTATTCATCTCCCAGCCTGACCAGCTAAGACCAGGCTGGAAATGGCTGGAAACCAGCCTGAAAGTGGCCAAAACCCCTCTAAAACCAGCTTGGTCGACCAGCTAAAACCAGCCAACCAGCCTAGGCTGGTTGAAGCTGGATTTTTCAGCAGGGTATTTCTATTATAATTATTATATATTTATATATATTCTACAGAACAACCTTCTGATGTCCAGGGACTTGACTAACCTAACTTAGTTAACTGAATTAACCTAGTTAATCATTTATATGGCACTTTAAGCTGAATACTAGTATCTTTTAGTATATTGTACAATGAAAAAAGTTTCAAGCAGTACTTCCTCCAATTAGACATGTATCTTTCATTTCAGTTTAATATAATTTGTTTTATTTTTCGAGTAATATATTTTAAGTTCGAAACATAGTTAAATGTAAATGTTTTTGATTAAGAGCTCAAGTAGTAAATGTTTGTTTTTGACTCGCACAGTAATGACCTAGCCCACAGCACTATAGCCAGGTGCATCAGGGCAAATGATTTAGAGTTAGGCTGCGTCTGAAACCGCATACTTCCATACTACGCTAAAATCAGTATGCGAGCCGAGTAGTATGTCCGAATTCATAGAACTCAAAAATCAATATGTGAGAAGTACCCAGATGACCTACTACAGGGGTGTCCACACTCGGTCCTGGAGGGCAGGTGTCCTTGAGAGTTTAGCTCCAACCCTAATAAAACACACCTGAACAAGCTAATCAAGCTCTTACTAGGTATACTAGAAACTTCCGGGCAGATGTGTTGAAGCAAGTTGGAGCTAAGATCAGTAGGACACCGGCCATCCAGGACCGACTTTGGACACCCCTGACCTACTACTTCCGATGAGATTCTGAAATGCGCATCCCATGTACGCTGCACTATCCCATGATGCTTCGCGAGAGAATACATAAATGAGAGTGAAGCGACGCAACTAACATGGGTAGGTCATGTGACCATGACAAAATGGCAGATGTAGTACGTCGGTATTCAGTTCATACTGTATAGAACGTACTTTTCTAATGGCCAAGTAGTACGTTTAAATTCAATTGCAGTACCTACTGAGTAGTAGGCCGTTTTGGATGCACCCTTTGTTTATGTATTATATTAGTTAAAATACATGGGTTGTTTTGATATAAACTTTGTGTGTTTATGTTTAAGTTGGCTTCTGTGATTTAAGCTGAATATTTCATTTATTTATAAAATATTGGCCATCACTATCAACGAGGGTAATGTGTAAAGGAAGCACCCCAGTGGTGGACTGTTCATGTTCTGAGCTCAGAATAAAAAGGTTAACTGACAGTGCCGTCTCCTACCTGCTTATTCTACCAGATTGCTTCTAGCCCTTTTCACACATACAGACCTTTCCGGAAATTTTCCGGCAATTTTCCGGAAAGATCAGTATGTGTGAACAGGCCTTTTTTGAAAATAGCGGTGAATTTGTTCCGGCTATTTTTTTGGAAAGAGAAACCTGTAATTTGCCGCAATGCTGCTCTGTGTGAATGCAGAAGGAAGATTGCCGGAAAGAAGGAAGCTTTCACGTCTAGAACGTGCTGACGTGAGACATCTACTTTAGCCAATCAGAACACTCAGACGCATTTACGTCCGCACTGAAAATAAAAGCCTTTAAATATTTTTCCACACACATTTAGCTGCCGGATGTTAGTCAGATAATGTTTATATGTTCCTTCTTAATGCCAACTGTGTAAATAATTATTGATAAGATGCTTATAAGCTATTGTATTTACCTTCAAGCTCTGCTTTCTTCAGTTGCTTGCTGCGTCACATGTGCCCTTGAAGCAGCCGGTGAGCTCAGCACACACACACATATTGTGTACATCTCGACATGGGAAAGTGTTTCTCTACACTGTATGTTTTCATCGAAGTTGTTCACAATATTTATCCATCCACAGAGTTTGTAATGTAATCAAATGTTTACAAATACAAGCACAGCCATTAAGAGCTCATTCCTGGTTAATGATGTAAGAATTTATCGGTATTTTGGAATGGATGTGTAAATGGTCTTTTCCAGAAAAATTCCATAACATCCTTGCCTGTGTAAACAGCGCTTTTTTAATTTTTTTTATTTACGGGTAAAGTCGTTCTGGAAATTTTATGATTATTTACCGGTATCACTGTGTAAAAGGGGCTAGAGACACTCAGGGTTGTGCGGCATATAGGACACTAGAGTTCTCCTAACTCCAGTTGCCCAAGTACAGCAAGCATTACAATATGCTTTTTACTTTCATGTACTTATAAAAAAAATTGTATCAGGCAAATGATTTATTTTTTATAGGCTCAAAAAAATTAATTTAGATGTGAAACCATTTTTTTTTTATTGGATGAAAGAACATTATATGGGAATTGTTGTTTTAATTTAAACTTTATCTTCTTGTTTAGAACATAAGGAGAATTTCAGTTAATTGACTTTCTTCAACAAGACAAATACTGTATGCCTTGTAAAAGGTTATATAAAAGTGTTCTCATGGAGATAGAAAATATTAAGGCGTATGATTTATTTTTCATTGGGTCAAGTGATCAAATTTAAATGTAAACCTTTACCCTGATTTTTTTATTGAGATGAATGAAAGCTTTTTTCAGTGTATGTACTGTCATCAAAGACAAAATAAATGAATAATTAGAAATTTGTTATTAAAAATATTTATTTGATAGTTTAACTAAATAATATTAACTAAATATTTGAATCTCAAAGGAGGGCTAATAATTTTGCCTTTAACTCTACACTATAGTACAATAATAAAATGATTGAATTATATTTTATAATGTTATAAATGATTCCATTTACAAAACCGTTGTTTTATCAACGCAGTCCTAGGTATTGCAGTGCAGTCCTAATTATGTAAAACATTTGACCAATAGTGTATGCTCACAAACATGGAAACATCCTTCTCTCTTTACTTTAGTTAACCTGAGAGGGGTTGTTTTCATATTTAAAGTATCACCTAAGAGAAAATTAGGCTCAGTTGTGCTCTAATATGCTTTACCTTGGCCAGACTCTAAAGCAATGTCACATCTTTCCTAATTCATTATACTGTAGTCACCAAATTTAGAATAAATACACTTGCTAAATTATGAATACAGTAATTCACAGTATACAGGGTATTTTAGAATAGTGATAAAATGGTTGTAACAGTAGTGACCAACTGTTTATGGTATCATATCTACATCCAAGTGTAACAAATTATTGAATGAAAAAATTATATTAGTGATATTGAGATGCTTGTCTAATGTGGAGGACAAGGTTTAAGAAAACTGAATTGTTGTTGCAATCTGAAATTACAAGAGAAAACAATGTATTGTTTGCTGTAACAAGTTATGACTCATTTTATTAAACATGAGAAACATGGATTACTCATTCACAATGAGATTTATACTGTATAGTAGGATGTCATACTCTTTTGAAATCAGAGTTGATGCTTATGTACAGTGTATGCAAATATGTAGCTTAATTGATAGGGTGTGCATAGAATGTTGCAAAATTCATCAACAACACAGTACGTGTATAGCTTGATTTTTCTACCAGAGCAAACACAGAGTTCGCACTTGCACTCTGATTTGTGTTTGTATTACTATATTTGTCTACATGGTGGCAACGCAAATCTGGGCTGCCTTTTGACAGTTGTAAAAAAAAAAAAAAAATTACTACTGAAAATCAATATAAGCATTTTCAGGTGCATCATGCATGAGGGTATTATGAAGGCATCCACACATTTATTATGAACAACTGCGGATAATTTGTATTTTTAGAGTGTATGCATCAAACGCCTTGCCTGTGCTCTCTGTTTAATGGCAGAACATTTTCAAATGCTGTTTGTGTATCTATTTGAGTATGTTACTAACTTCATAAACACAAAGTATACATTGGGCTGCAGATTTACTATTGCTAGCCAAATACTTTCAAATGAAACATGTAAGAATGCAAATTATTTTCTTAAACTGATTTTGCTTAGACCTCATTCAATTTATCCACTGACTAATGGAAAACTAGTTGACAAAGCCAGGTGACTTTTTTTGCTTATGAAATTACCCAAAAATGATGGCACCTTTAGAAGATAGCGGCCTATAGCTGCGATAGCTGGATGGCCAGTGAGGCATCACACTAGGTTTTGGAGCAGAGCTATTGTAAACAGGGTTGAGCTTCAACAGACACTTACAAAACATTTGTTTAGCTGTTACTGTGAGCCCCGAAGACATACTACAGACTCAGAAGGAATCTCTCTTTCGGATTGTGTCCCCCACCCCTCTCTCCCACACTCATTTATTATTCATCTCTTTCTTTCTGGAAACTGCCACACAGAAGCACAGAGCAGACAGGGCTCACTAACTGCCCCACTGACAGCTACACATGCTCTTCACAGGGTCCAGGTACTTCCTTTCTCTATGATCTGTATGACATCCAAGACATACACAGAAGCTTTGAGAATTGGTTCCATTTTTAAAGGTGACCTACCTTTTAAGAAAATGTGGAACAAGTCTCTGATGTGCCTAGAGTGTGTATGTGAAGTTTCAGCTCAAAATACCACAAACATTTTTGTTATTTAGGCATTGGTCCAAATTGTGCCATTTTTATGACTGTTGCTTTA